GGTACAGTTACTCAGACCATCTGATCTGGGGTCAGCTTGCTGCAGCAGAGCGATAGTGTTCGGGAGAGAGAATGACTGTACTGCGCTCAGTAAGTGAGTCACCTGACCAGTGAATACATAATTGATCAGTCAACTGAATGTAAACCCATGTATTTTTGGAGAAATGGATGCATGTATAATTTTTTTTTCTTTTTTTATGGTGGAGCACTTTTTAAGCGTAATACGCTCATTATAAAACAGTTGGACTTTATCTTTCCCATCCTCTCCTATCTCTGTGTTTCTGGGACTCTGGATTTCCCTTGGCTTGGCTTTCGATTCTCACGTCTCCTTGTGACTTTTACACATAGATCAACACAGTTCAGTGGCTGAGAAAAGCCTGCATATGCCTTACAGTTAAGAGAGATGCGGTGAAGGGCTGTTATGATGAGTTTCTATAGTCATACACTGAACTGTGGTCTGTTATGCTTTCAGTGTTCTGTTATAATGTGCATTTTTCTTGGCTTATAGACTTACCATAACCAAATAAATGTATCAATTACCAGAGTAAGTATTCACTTAAATGCATTTGTCATCCAAGTTTTCCTCCTCCAGCTACCATGCACTGATTAAGCAGCCTTCCAGGTCTGGCAGTGCATTCTCTCCCCTTTCTTTCCCAGCATGCTGTGCGGCAGAGCATTCCATGAATCCTGCCCATCTTGGCTACGGAGCCAGGAGTCAGAGCCTGGCCTGCTGCGGGCCAAGCTGTTCATCCAAACCTCGCATGCTGTAGCAAGACATGCAGTGGTGAGAGAGTATTTGTGAAGCTGTCACACTTCTCTGTATTTCTGGACTATTTAGCCTAAAACGAGAGTCACTCTGCCCCAGAGCCGTAACATATCGGGCGTCTTTACAGCTTGATGGCGACCATAGTTAATGTACACGAGTTAATGTACAACAAGATGACTGATGCAGAAGGCATTTCACCAGCCAAAGTCCTGGCTGTAACCCACTGAAATGCTGTGACCTGCACTGAAGCAAGCAGTTCGCACATGGCAGCTGAAATTATCAATGAACTTAAACGTTTGCTGAAGGGGAACAGACCGAAATACCTCGACACAAGCATAGCCTGTAGATTCAGGAAGTCAGTGCTACTAAAGGATGCCATCAGGTGTGAAATCTAAAAGTGTCAACCATTTTCCAAAAAAATCAGCCAATGTTAAGAGCTTAAGCCTATGCAGCGTCAGTATGAATCACTATAGATTACATTTCTGGAAGACGTGTGGAAATTTAACCTGCCTTGATCATTGCTATGGAAAACATGGCTGAGACACATGTCCTGTTACTGAAAATACATCTGAAGTGTGGAAAGGTACGAGACCAAAGTTCACCGAAATGAGAGTCTTTCTTAATGATATTTATGGAAACTACTTTTTTCACTTCTGTTAGGGAAACTATATCTTTTTGGAATTTATGGCATCTTGTGTAATAAACATAAACGACCTGGCCTGCATTATGGGTATAATTGATATGCTCAAAGTGCAGCTGGATGTGGTTGATATCCCCATTTCAGATGCTGGATTAAAAAAAAAAAACCTAAAATTGTTTAGGTAGAAAAAAATGCCAAGAAGCAATCTTCATTCAAGTTCACATGGTTAATAAAATAACACATATTGCTTTTTATTTATAATTTGTTTTTAGTTATTGAACAGTCACGGTATTTGTAGTTAGAATAGAAAGAAAACAGCAAGAAAAGTAGTTCTGTTGAAGAACACGAGACATTACTATAATATGAACAATACAATTTTAGAGTATTACAGCTTTTTGACAAATGAAGAGAAAACATTTTGGAGGGATTCCACTAAGATTTGATTATTTCATGTTGTTGCCAGTGTGTGATATACTAGATCACTTTATCACTTTTTAATAAAATTGTCCTTTCTATTATATGAGATTTCCTAGTCATTACTTGGGAATTTCATAGAATCTCCACTGAGTGTTCCTCCATCTGAGTATCCTTTACTTTTAGCAGCAATAATTCACTGGAAACAGAATTAGAGACCAGAATATGGTCGAGGGCATTTCATTGTTACAGCATAGCAACGCTCTTTCCGGAAAGTCCCCTAAAAACAATGTTCTGTGGGCGCTCAGTGCTCTTATGGCGGAAATAGTATTACATAAACAGAACATAATCTACTGATATATGATTGATAAATGTGGAAATTCCCTAAGGCGCTGCCTCAGATTATGAGAAAAACACTTGGGTCTGCAGTTTCCCTAAGGTCCACCAGGTGTCACTACTTACCATACACTTTGTTTTCTTGAGTCATTTAGGCCTACTGTACATGCTTATTTTTGGTCTTCTGTAATAATCAAGTATATATCGTATCTTGTATACTGATGTCGGAAGCTTTTAATAATTAATAAGGGACTTTTAATAATTCATTCCGGAGTATGCTATTTGGTCTTCCCCAGTGGCAGTCTGGATAAAGCATAGCATATGTAGAGTGGAGTGTTTTTAAGGGGAGGAAACTTATTTTTTTATATTAATTATATTAATTATTTTCATTTGAAGCAAAATATTACATTTATCATTGTATTCTATATTTTTTGTATATATCCCCTTGTTCTAAGATGGTTATCAATTGTAATATGAATTATTTTTAAATTGTGAACTTAAAAAGTAGCATGAGTCTGATTGGAGGGGAGACCCTCTCAGCCACGTCTTTCACATATAAGTTTATGTCTGGTTCTTCCTCTAAGGCTCACTGAAGCTGATTAGCTATTGCCTGAGTGAGTGCTGGCACAAGCTTCCCTGTTCCTGTGTTGTCATGTTTTTGTTCTGGAAGTGTGCATCTGCAGAATGAATAAATATTAGTTATTAGCTCTACATGTCTGCTGTGAAGGATGGTCTCACTTTGCTAATGTGTTAATATGTTACTGTTTGGTTTGTATTTGTCTGTAGGCTGGTCTTGCAGCTGGATATCTATGGATGTTATAATTGTTGTATTTGTATGTTGATCTGGATAATATTTAAAAGAAGAATAAATAAATTACAATTAAAATGTAATCTGCATTGTATTAGCATAGACCTGTCTGTTATTTTTCCGTCTTAATGTTCTGCTTTTAAATTATATTATGTAATGTATGACTGCATTTGTCATACAACAGTAATACTGTATGTTTTAATGGGTTTCTGTCTTCCCAGTTTATGTGTAATATCATGTGTTATTATTACATATTTATGACAGATTATTTACAAGCCAGTTTAACCCAGGAGATGTGCTTGCATTTTTTGCCATACGGTTTTTAATATATAAATGTGCTTAATATCACACAAAGGATTCTGGTTTTAAAGTTTTTGCTAAACAATGATAATGTAAAATTTCTATGTATGTTGTAATTGCAGCTGGGCAAGGCAGTCCTTCGTGCTCTCTAGTCCCCCCTTGTGTTGAGAATCTTCTACAACTACAGAAATTGTGAAGAGTTTTAATGACAGTTGATGGAAAGTCTCAGTGGTGGTGATATAGTAAAATATTATTAATGATTAAATATTAAACATCAAACATTAAAGAACATGTATTAAAAACATACTGTAGACTCAAAAAATAAAGAAAAATAGGAATTAAGTTATATATACACACATTAAGGCCAAAACTATACAAGAAAGGGATCGTACAATACTTGCTTTTACTAACATTTAGCATGTGTAGCGGAACAACTAAAGAAGAAACATGAAATGCAATGGCTTAGGTGATGTTTGACACATTAAATAAAGTAAAAATGCAACAGTTCCTCTGCATTTAAATGTAAAGTGAAAATGAATTATTATTTGAAAAAGCAGGCTAATTATAAAGTGAGATTAACTACACATGTTGACGATGCCATTTAACATCACTACATCTCTTAGCTCGTATGCCGGTGCCTTGATTTTAGAGTTATGAGGTGATGTATAGATTAAGAATTTGGTTTTCTGACCCAATGGTTACTGGTAAGGACCAGGAGAGTTCTTACTATTGCAGTCTTTGGTAAGATAAGCTGTATAAATTGATAAAAATATCTGTGTCATATTGTCATTGTTTTTTTGCACTCCTTTTCCAGACATGCAGTTAAAAATTCACTCTTTGTTGAAATTAAATGTATGAAATAGATTAAACTTTTTAAGTTTATGGGAATATGGACTGAAATTGACTTTTTATGAGGGGGCGTGTCTCTGCTTGGACATCAAACAGGACACATCAGTGGGTGACAGGTTTACTCGAAACCTTTTCTTTTCCAGGGACAGATGGGAATGGAGTGCATTTGGAATCCATTTGGAATCCAAAAAAACAAGTGGATTTAAAAACACAGGACTAGCATTTAGATTATAGGTCTTCGGGCTGATGCCAGCCTTGGGTTTTCAGCTACAAAACCGAACACTCCAATTTACACATTTCACAGTGATGCACTGGCAGGCAGAACTAATCGATACAAATGAAGCAGGTCACCTGACGTTTCCTCCTGAGACGGCCAGATCAGATAGTCTTAATCTTTTCAGCTGCGATTCAGTGAGAAAAGTTTGCGGTAGATTGTACAGTATTTGTTTATCTTATCGTTCCCATTCCACCCTGCGCATGTTATTTGCTAAATGTGTACTTCATTAGCTTTGGGATGTGCATGCATCTTCTGTGCTCAAACTCAGTTTAATTGAGAAGCTTGTAAAACATAGTGCTCAATTCGAGGAAATCTTGATAGAATGCTCCTTTTGATAATGAATTTTTTTTTAACATTCACTCTTGAGAGATCTTGGCATAATTGCTCTCTTGCACGTGGATGATGTGGCCCAAAACGACACGAGGAAGCTGGTGCATTTTTCTTCGTAGCTAAGACACTGTAGCCATGACCTTAATCCCTCACATTTGACCCATTGACCCCTCCCCATCGCACTTCTGGATATACTTGCTATTTAGGCACTGATCTAAGATCAGGCTACCAGATCGCCATTTATGGCAGTATCATCCCGCATCCATCTGGTGTGTCTGCAGGAACATACTGATCTCTGATCTGGATGCTGCCCTGACGTACCAGGAGCTGTGCGAGGAGGTCAGGGAGATGTGCAGCCTGCACGCTGAGCAGCCCATCACCCTCAAATGGATCGACGATGAAGGTTTGCTGTTCTCTATGCCTTTCTCTGGGTTTTACATGTATTTAATTCTAGATGAGGATTGAGATACATGGACCCTGAAATGATTGTAATGGATAATGAATCTGTGTTTAGAAAGAAAATATCTGATTTCTAATCAATAAATACGTGTTTTAAAGTATTTCTTTAGTTTGTGAATATGTTTTGTGTTGACATGAATTGTTAAATGATTCAAGTGAAATGTATGTTCTACCAATGCAGACTATGTACAAGGGATGGATAATGAAACTGAAACTCTGGCCAAACTGGTGTTTGGGGTTTCACGCCTATATATGCGCAGCCTGGTGGCCAATATTCACTGACTACATGTTCCGTCAGTAAGAGCAGGGCGTGGAGGTTGAATTAGCAGAGCAATAGCACAGCTGTACAGAAAAATATTGCAATCCACACAACATAATGGGAGACATATCAGACTTCAAAAGAGGACAGATTGTTGGTGCATGTCTCACTGGCACATCTGTGACCAGGACAGCAAGTCTTTGTGGTGAATCGAAAGTCACATTACCCAGGATAATGTCGGCATACTACCATGTAGGATAGACCACATCCAACAGGAGTAACTGTGGATGCTAGAGGAAGCTGTCTGAAATGGATATCTGGGTACTAATTTGGATTGTATCCAAAAAACATAAATCCACATGTGCCCATCTCACAGCAGAATTAAATGAGCCTCTTGACTCTCCTGTTTCCACCAAAACTGTTCGTCAGGAGCTCTATGGGGTCAATATTCATGGTTTGGCTTCTATAACCAACCCTTTGGTCACTCATGTCAATGCCAAACATTGGCTTCAACGGTACCAGTAGTGCAAATCTTGGGTTGTGGACAATGTGAAACATATATTGTTCTCTGATGAGACTACCTTTGCGGTCTTTCCCACATTCCAGAGAGTTACGGCGTGGAGAAGCCCCAAAGAGGCTTAATACCCAGACTGGTACAAGCCCAAAGTGCAGCACAAAGGTGGATCAGTGATGGTTTGGGCTGCAATGTCATGGCATTCCCTAGGTCCAAGACTTGTTCTAGATGCACACGTCACTGCCAAGGACTGCTGAACCATTCTGGAGGGTCACGTTCATCCAATAGTTCAAACATCGTACCCTGAAGGTGGTACCAAATAGCTGGATGATAATGCACCAATACAAACAGCAAAGCTGGAGACCGAGTGGTTTGATGAACATGAAAGTGAAGCTGAACATCTCCCATGACCTGCATGGTCACCAGATCTGAATATTACTGAACCACTTTGGGGTGTTTCGGAGGAGCGAGTCAGGAAACGTTTTCCTCCACCATCATCATGTAGTGACCTGGCCACTGTTCTGTAAGAGGAATGGCCCAGAATCCCTCTGGTCACTGTGCAGGACTCGTGTCTGTCGCAAAAGGAAGCCCTACACCATACTAATGAATTATTGTGGTCCAAAACCAGAGACCCTCAGTTTCATTGTCCAACTTCTGTATGTGGTTAGAATGTCGTGCTTTGGATTTAAGTGCCACTCTGGGATTTAAGTCTTTGTAATATATTTTTTTTCTTCGGATAGCTGATGACTAGACCTACATTATAAGTTATAAATAAGTACACAAAGTATGTAAAATGTGTTAAAGAAATAACAAATTCTCTCTTAAGCCCCCCAGCAGTGAGACATGTGGAAGTTTGAGGCCCCGGGGCACCAGCTAGCAGGAAAAGTGGAGGAAAAAGTGTTTCAAATTTTAATCAGAGCCTAAAGCATTTAAATAAAGATCAAGACGGCAGTTTTTTAACAAGCTTCTGATGTTTCTGGCATGGGGGGGGGGGGGGGGGCCTTCTGAATGTATCTGCTGGAGTGCTGATCCGCTTCACGCTAAGTTCTTTAAGTTCTTTCCATGTTTTGGTTCTTCTGCTGGTATCAGGAGGTGGTGTCTGGATGGAATGTTGGTCTGTTGGCCGGTAGAGGCCATTCGCTGAAAGAAAAATGCTGACTGGCTTGTGTTGTGTCTTGGCCGACACAGGAGATCCCTGCACCATCTCCTCTCAGATGGAGCTGGAGGAAGCCTTTCGTCTCTACAGCCGCAACCGCGACTCGGGTCTCCTCCTCCATGGTACGTTTTCCCTCCCTTTCTCTCCTTTTATTCGCGTCTGTACAGCTTGATTCTTAATTACTTTTAGGTTAGGCACTTCGCTCAGAGATGCAGTCGGATTTGTTTTCTTGAGAAATGACCATTTGGCCAAAAGCCCAGTTCCTGAATCGCGGTGCCCCCTGCTGGCCTCATATGTAATTTTATTCGCCATTTTTTCTTTGCAGGTCCTGAAAAACACCTGTAATTTTCTGAACCATGCCAGACACAAAGTGCTCAAAAATGCCACTGGTGGCTAGCTGCCATAATGTTAGTCCTTCCAGAAATGTCCTACCTGTGATATAATCATGGACGTTTCGTAGCGGAATAAGAAATGGTGGAAGGAAATACAATGCCTACAGTTAAAGGTCTAAGAGCAGATTACACAGCATTATCCCTTCACAAGTTTTACACCACAATGGTTACTCAATGCAACTGTTGTGATGGGTTATAGCAGTTATATTTTAGCTAGCCTGAATTCTTCGAAATGTTCTCTCAATGCTGCTCATCGTAGCGTTAATACTCTCGGAACACTCCTGAACGGGATCTCAGTTTGGCTTCCATCTTAGGGGAAAATCACTGTAGATCTGTGGAAATACTTAATATCGGAAAAAAAATGCTTGGTGTTATGAACTCCAGGCACTCTTTAACCTCTCGTCGGGTGACAGTATAGGAGAGTTGATTTAATGAGTGCACACATCAGCATGTAATGATAAGAGCGTGATCAGGGTGTCAGCAACTGCTGTATGCAGGCTGGCTGCCCATGAAATGATGGGGGGGGGGGAGCACAGCAGCTGCTGTGAATCTGCATAATTATTACTTAGGGTTACACTTAGTTTTTTTTGTTCCAAATAGTGAAAAACAATAAAAATGAACGTAATTGTGTACACAACTGGGGGAAGGGAGACGCATTTTGAAACCCGCAGTTGATGAACGCGATGATCTGAATTTAGACTAAAAAACGGAAAGTGGCAGAAGCATTATCCCTCAACAGTCGTTTGCAGTCTGCTCAGCCGCTCAGTTTCCCGCCGCCCATCGTATCCGCAGTCCGTACCAGGCTGCTGCGGCCGTGTGCCGACTGTCTACACTTTCGTGAAAAGGCCCCTCTTGTGCGACAGGGTGCAATTTTGTTAAACCCAGTCAATGTAAACACTCTCCTCCTGCCTTCACAGTAAGTGGCACTATGGATTCGACAAGTGAACAAACATGCATAGCGGCTTTAGTCGCTGCTCAGACCAAGATCTGGTCTGGTACCAGTCTGATCCAGTCTGAGTCTTTACATATTTCCAAACTTGTACTTCTAAAGTCTTCAAAAGTACCAGTCCCCCCCCCCCCCCCC